AAAGAGAAAAAAAAAAAAAAAAAAGCAAGAAAAACATAAACGAAAGAGAGCATACCCTGTATTGTTGAAAAAGTTGTTCAGATCGTCCCACCTTTCCATGTACAAACATCCCACTGAGAAGTCAAATAACGAACCTTCGCTTGAAATGGGTGACAGGTTCCCTTGAAACCGGCCCCAACGTTATAAATCAATTTGTCTTGCAAAGTACCTCCTACTCTAATCCCTACCGACTTGAAAGCCAATGATAGAGAGCAAATTAGGGTAGATTTTTACGAAGAAAGAGTATGCTACAAAAAGATTAATTATACACTACAAATACTCAAACCTTGAACTGCTTTGTTAAGGATCGGAAGAGTTAAATTCTGAAACAGAAAAAAGAAGAATCGATTAATAAAATACTACTTGTATTTTTTTTCTTCATTTTCTTTTGATTTCATATGTTCTCACCAAATTGAGCATAGATGCATGACCATCCCAAACACAGCTTGGGCCAACGACATTCATCGTGAGGCCAAATGTCCAGAGTTAAGCAAACGAAATTCTCATCCGTTTCTACGATTGGTGTGATTCCGTCGACCACAATTCTACCTTTTACAGCATCATGACCCAAAATGGTTGGGATAAAAGCAAGAACCGAAATTAAAAGGACACAGTATCCCATTTTTGAATCGAACTCCTGTTCAACAATTGAAATGAGATAAAATGAGGAATTTTGTTGATAAATCGTAAATATATCAAAAGATCTTCATCAAATTTTTAATGGGTTGTCTCTACCGATCGAGATAATTGAGTTCTACAATTAATTTAAGGGGAAGAAGATAGAAATATGGAAATTGTGTTACCTAGTTTCGTCGAAACTTTCAGATATAACCGAACAAGAAAAGAATTTCCGGACCATAAAATCATACAAGAAAAGCTGAGAGTGATGAAAACAAATGGAAGGAACACAGTTTATATATACTTCAAATTGGTAACAGTTAAAATGCAACTCTACCAACATTAATAGCTTTCAATTAAGAATGGAAACTTATGAAATATTGCATTAAAATAGGAGTTTTGTTCTTCAATGTTAGTTTCAATGGGTTGATTTTCATAGCTTTGATAGTTAATTGTTTTTCTTGATTGGGTCATAAAACTTTTTTGGACAATTTCTTATTGAAAAACGTTTCAAATTCAATAAACTTTAACATTCCACACTAAAGTTAAAAAATGTTGATCGTAACTATGAGACCTCATGGAGAGGGAAACGACTAAAGTTAAAAAATGTTGATCATAACTATGAGACCTCATGGAGAGGGAAACGAAACGTTTTTTATAAGGATGTGGAAACCTATCCCTAACAGATACGTTATACAACTATGAGGTTGAGCAATAGCTAACAGACCAAAGCAGATAATATCTACTCACCGTAGAATTGAGTTGTTACAGTAACTCAATTCAAGAAAAATGGTGAATGGTACTTTTTTTTTTTTTAATTAAGCTTTATAAAATCTACTTTCAAAATTGAAATTTATTTTCTTTTGAAGTGAAAATGGGAATCAAAATAAAAAGAAACCAACAGGAATCGGAAAGAGAAAATTGGGTTGATAAATTAGTTTAGAGCAGTTGGGTTCTAGGGCCGAAAGATTATTCTCAGGATATTCTCAGGAAAGAGAGTCATACACCTCTATGATTCAGCTTGATGACACGTCTCGTCGCGACCAAGTATGTCATCTAAACCTGTTTAGTAGTATATGATATGTTGTAAGACCTCTATGAATTTGTTGTATGTTCTGGATTTCGTGGTAGATATGATAACACCCTAAGACATTAAGAAGTTAACGTTAACACTATGAGAGAATGTTTGATCTGAGTAAACGATTAGGAGCTCGAGAGGGGTCATGTGATAGCAAACTGGGTTGAAGACAAAGAGTTGATGCTGCAAAGTGTGTGGCGTTCAACCCATGGATTTGGGTACGAGATACCTTAAGGCCCAATACAAGATTAGGTACCTTTGACCCAGCCTCGCGACCAAGTATGTCTCAATACAGATCATGTGGTGGGCTCAAACAGTAGAGTTCACCAAGGTAAAGGCGACTACTAGAGGAATTAAAAGATCTCTCAAGTAAACCATTACTCCAAGGGAGTTTTGAAAAAGTTGGCATTTTGAGAAATAAGATTCATCAACTTTACGAGAGAAGCTACGGAATTCATGGCTACATGGTTCTGGTTGGAGTCTTCAAAGACTCAAGTTCAAGTTTTATGGATTTCCAAAAGTGCAAAGTGCACGTTATGCCATTTATAAGTTATGAGATAAAGGATATTCCCTATGAAGTATCGTTAAAGAGATGACAATTTGCTTTGGATTTCAGAGGGAAGGTCCTAAGTCAAGTAGCAACACGTGGTATCAGAATTATGTGACCATGTCCTAAGTCATCCTTAGGAATGGACAAGCATGCTTACCAAGATGGAACTATCAAGGTAAACCAGTGAACCTTGAAATCGAGGGCAACAAAAAAAGGTCAAGCTATGGTCACATCTTCATTGGCTAGGGAGAGGAAAAACCAGATATAGTGACAATAGGAACCTACCTTCAAATAAGTTATCTAGATTACAAAGAGTATGACTCGACTTCCACACACAAGTTTGTTAGCATATTTGTGAAACATGCTCAAATAGACAAGAATACAAAGAATACAAACTAGATTGTAACGAGTATATAACGCACTAAAGATGGGAATGGATTTTGATTTTTAGTGCTTGAAAATATTCAACTCTTCACAATGGGTAGACGTCTTAGCTGAGAGATGATAATTTATTGCTTTTTGTAGTATTTTAACTCTAATAATTGAACTTGTCGCATAATGATTATCTCAAGATCGAGTTGCATTATAGCATGGGTTACTTCAATGTCGTAGCACCTAGTACTCAAACATTGGCTAGGGGTACCTTGCGTCTTTAAACCAATGACCATCTTTCGGCTAATCTAATCTCCTCCGTCCCTCGGGACCAACAAGGGGTAATCCAGGAATATTCACCTATTGTCCATCTACCATGCCTTTCAACCTAATCTTAGGCCCTGACTCACCTTCGATGAACGAACCTTATAGGGGAGAATTATACAAATACCAAATAAATATTAGGTAGGTTTTAATTATACCTCTACATCTTAAAAAGAACAATGAAGAAGACTTCGAATGCTTTGATATTCCATGAGAGTTCGATATCAACTATATGTATATAGATAATTACTGTAACAACAAGCAACCATTTAGTTTCCTCAATCAGCTGTGTCAAATTTAACTAACGAAAATACAACTTCAAGGAACATTTCCATTCATTTTCAAATTCCTACAACAAAAAGTGTCCTTTTTTTCCTTGTAAGAACATACATAAATCATCATTATAACCTCAACTACGTCTCTGCTCAAAATTTCAATGGTATTAAACAAAATTTTGGGACATTCAGTCCTAAATAAACTGGAAATTTAGAACTCTTCAGGGATAGAAACTTGCCAGCAAGCAACTGTACCTGTTATGATTTTGTATACTGTTGAGAATTGACTTATCTCGTATCCATTAAGCGGGTTTTAAGCTCTTCGACAAAATCTCGTAAAAGTGTTTTTGCTGTTACAAAAAGAGAAAAAAGACAGTCAGAAACTGATACATCACAGTATTTTGTTTTGAAAATGATAAGTAAATAAGACCTTTTCTGACACAGAAGGAGAAATCTTAGTTAGCCCACTCTCAAAATGGGTCATCTTGATGGTACATGATGCTGATTCCATATTATTCCTGACTGATGTCAATTTTTCTTCCAAGGCAGCCATTGCAGCTTCGTTCATCTGTCATTGATAAAAATCACATGAGCTTGACCATAGAAAAACGATTCAATTATAAATTAGGTCCCATGGTTTGAAGCTAAAATTTGTTTCCATAAGAATTTCGTCCTTATGGGTCTCATAAAACCTCACAACTAGTTGCTACCATTAGAAGCCACTAATAAATAGATTGAGTACGTGATTAGTTAGCTATCCATGTGTCAATGAGGTTGGTGTTTAGTATTAGCAAATTGTGTGGGTTAAATAGTTGATAAGATATAAACGAATCGTCAAAGTTCCAAAGAAGCTGTGAGATCCCACGTTGGTTAGAGAGTAGAACGAAACATTCCTTATAAGAGTGTGAAAACCTCTCCTAGTAGATACGTTTTAAAACCATGAGACTGACGGTGATACGTAACGTGCCAAAGCGGACAGTATCTACTAGCAGTGGGCTTGGGCTGTTACAAATGATATCAGAGTCAAACACTGGACGGTGTGCCAACGAGGACGTTGGGCTCCCAAGAGGGTGGATTGTGAGATCCCACGTTGGTTGGTGAGGGAAATGAAACATTCCTTATAAGGGTGTGGAAACTTGTCCTTAGTAGATGCGTTTTAAAATTGTGAGACTAACGGCGACACATAACGGACCAAAACAGACAATATCTACTAGCGGTGGGCTTGGGCGGTTACAAATGGTATCAAGAAAAACTATAATTAATCCCATTATATAAATATTGCAAACACAAGAAGATAGAAAACTAACCAATGCAGAAAGATCAGCCCCACTGAAATTTTCACAAGCCTCCATTTGTCCCACCGCTAGTAGATCTACACTGATATCAATAGGCTTCTTCCTTCCAAGAGCTTTTAAGACTAACCCTCGCTCAGTTGGACCAGGAAGAGGAACATAAAGAAGTTTGCCAAATCTACCTGGTCGTAGTACAGCAGGATCCATGACTTCAGGTCTATCAGAATAAACTTATTATGAGTATCAAGATTACAACGACCAACTCGAAAGCATATAAAAAAACAAGATCTACCTATTTGTAGCACCAATAACAAAGACGCCTCGTCGTTGTTCCGCTCCATCCAACTCTATGAGTAACTGCAGAGACGAAAAGTCGATCCATTTAACCTCAGTGATCAATAAAAACGACAAGGAAAGAAAGGGTACAGCGCAAGAAAATCAACTCATTTCATTGCACTTTATCGAACCTGGTTCAATAATCGTTCCACGACCCATCCTCCTTCTTTACCACGTTTTGTTGTTAAAGCATCCACCTACAAACAATTCAAAACAAAATGTACACATAATGTCAAATCAACCTTCTTCTATCAACCAGCCACTCATTCATCACCATTCAAGAGAAAGAAAATGTCCGGGAGATAATCCATTTATGAGATTCTATGTTTCGGGGTTGTTTTTGTAAATTTCAGTGTCGAGTCGAGAAAAACGTATGATCCCCACGGTTTATGAGGTTTATTATTTGTTACCTATTTTGTTCTTGATGCTTTGCATTTGATAAAATCTTTTTGTTTTCCCTTCTTTAAAGAGAAAAGAATAGCTGAAAATGAAGTATGAACTAAAGTAATTACTACCATAGATTATAAATCCTTGTACAAACTCTCATGTCATAAATACAAAAATGATCATCATTCATCCACAACAATAACTAGCAAATAGTAATGCACGAGTCACATACTTCATCAAAGAAAAGAATGCAGGGCGAGCACGTCCTTGCCCGACTAAATAGTGTCCGAACTGCAAGTTCACTTTCTCCAACATATTTGTTTAGTAACTCAGGCCCCTGTGCAACAAATAAATCCAGGGCAATTTAAAAAAAGCAATGAAATTATCAAAAATTATGTTATAGTATAAGCTACTTTTTAAGCGTTAAGCCACTTAAATACCGAACCTTCATGTGAATGAAATTGGCTCAGATTCGGGCCATAGCACACGGTTTAATAAAACCGTACGATTTTTCCCGATCATATGTTATAGGATAAGCTACTTTTTAAGCTTTAGGTCACTTAAATACCGAACCTTAATGTGAATGAAATTGGCTCGGATTCGAGCCATAGCACACGGTTTAATAAAACCGTACGATTTTTCCCGATCATATGTTATAGGATAAGCTACTTTTTAAGCTTTAGATCACTTAAATACCGAACCTTAATGTGAGTGAAATTGGTTCGGATCCGAGCCATAACACACGGTTTCATGAAACCATACGGTTTTTCCAATCAGATGCTATAGGACAAGCTACTTTTAAGCTTTAAGTCAATTAAATACCGAACCTTAATGTGAATGAAATTGGCTCCAGCCTCATTTGCAACAGCTTTAGCAATTAGTGTTTTACCACAGCCTGGAGGACCATATAACAAAAATCCAGTCTCTAGATCCACACCAAAGCCCTAGAATCAAGAACAATTAAGAGAAATTGAATTTGGGTTTAAAAAAAATGATAAAATGCTGTAAGAACAAACCATGGAAATTCTCAACCATGAAGCTTACAAAACTGATGAACATGAAGCTTGAAAAACCTAAACCAAAGTGATACCTCATAATCATCTGGATATTTTATACGCCTAACTACATAGCGATCGAACTCTGCTCTTAGTTGTTCTAAGCCTCCAACATCTTCCCACTTCACACTGGGAATTGCAGAAAACCCTTCTCTTCTCAGTGAAGGTTGTATCATTTGAATTGCTTCCTTTAGAATATCACAAGAAAGAAGAGTAAATAACAAAGCTAGCCAATATCATTCATCTGAAAAAATCAATAAGAATACATGCTATTTAATCACCTCAAAGTCGGTCATAGTTATAGCCAATTTTCCCATCTCTTCAGGCAACCAAGGTTGCTTCCACCAATCTTCTATATGTTCCTTATCAACAAAATCAGTAGACAACTCAAATTTTCTTTGATCAATTATTCTCTTCATGGCAAGATTACCAGCCTTATTGGCCAATGCTGTCAAATCAGCACCAACGAAACCTGGAGTTGCCCTAGCTATTTTCAGAAGATCGAAAGAACCTTCGAGTCTCAAGGTGCTGGTTAGAACAGAGAGGATTTCAGCCCTCGCATTTTCATCGGGAACACCTAATACGATCTCACGATCAAAACGACCAGGCCTCCTTAATGCAGGATCAACTGCATCTGGCCTATTGGTTGCACCAATTACAAGAACATAACCTGGTCTATCATTGGAACTATCTTTCTTTGAACTTGCATCAGTAGAATCTACAAGCTTGTGGAACCCATCCATGCAAGTCATTAATTGTGTTACAATCCTTCTCTCCATCTCCCTTTGTAGATTTTCTCTCTTTGATGCAATTGCATCAATTTCATCAATAAAAACAATTGATGGTGCTGTTCTATAGGCTTTCGAAAATAGCTCTCTAATATTTTCTTCAGACGCACCTAAAAGTTCCACACAAAAGTTTCGAAATAATCGAATATAAGAATAGCTTCTTCCTAGGAGCATTGAAAAATAGGAAAAGAGGTATAGATTTCAATTCTAGCAATTCACCAACAACTATTATATTGATAATACCATACAAAAAGCTCAGCCAACTCTAACAGTAACCATAGCATGACATATTGCTATTGCAAACATACACATACAATCTCATAACCAAAATTCAAATCCTTATTTCTATATAGCCATACGGTTTTACCACTCAACACACGGTTTCGAGTATTCTACAATATGAACATGTACCTGATACGCCCGAAACAATCTCGGGAGCCGAAATCTTATAGAAAGGCACACCAGTTTCATTGGCTATGGCATGAGCCAATTTAGTCTTACCACAACCAGGGGGGCCATGAAGTAAAATTCCGGCCATCGGCCGAACGCCCAACCACATCGGCAGCTGCGGATGGTAGAGCGGAACAATCACCTCCATCTTCAATTCCTCTAGCACACTCTTCATCCCTCCCAAATCCTTAAACCTAGGCCCTTCCTCCTTCCCTTCCCCTGTTTCCGTTTCTGCCCCACCATGAGAACCCTGCCCCTCCTTTCTCAATATCCCCTTGCTTGCATTCCCTTCATTCTCCACACCAATTTTTTCAGCAATCTTATTCTCTATGGCAACTTCCAACTCAACACTCTTCTCCAAATGCTCATTCTTCGACTTATTCGACTCCGCATAAGATGTTTGGAGCATCGACTTCATCAAATCGAACGCCGGCTCTACTTTTTCCCCATATATAGCATCCTCCGACGTCGCCACCGCTCCATCGCCACTGTTACCAGAATCAGAAGAAGTCGAAGACGAAGGCGATTCATTCTGCAACCTCTGTTCGCCGAGGTCAACTCTCTTGTACCGCTTCTTTTCGATGGTACTGCAATCGGCATCTTCGTCTTCAGAATCTTGAAATTGGCGTTTGATTTTGCTGGGCGTAGAAGTAGAAGGAGTGGATTTAGGATTCTTTTTGAGCTGCGAATCGAGGGTTTGTTGGACGATTGAAGTGAAAGGTGACTTCTTGAGTCCTCGGTAGTCCCTGTAAGTGGACTGGAGATGGTCGACGATGTCGTCGACGGTGGGACACTTGTGGCGGCAAGACTTAATTCGTTGAAGAAGGAAACCACGGTTCACAACGGACGGCGACCTGCCACCCGCCATCTCCGCGGCTTCGCTTGGTTGTAGAAGAGAATGACGGGATTGGGGAGGTGCCTGTAAACGACGAGCGGCGGCGATGTTGGTATAAGTACGGTATTTACCATTCTTTTAAATTTTTCTTAGTCCTCCTATTTTCACGTTCGCTCTTATTTACTCCTATATCACATAAATAGTCGAGCTCTTATTTACTCCTATATCACATAAATAGTCGAGCATTACCCTATTTACTCCGATATCACATAAATAGTCGAGCATTACCCCACCAATACGGTTTATTGACTTTCTGGGTGAATTAGGATCGAACCCAATCTTTTTGTAAGTGAAGTCTTATGGTCCTTTGGATTATCATATTAAGTACAATTTGGATTGATTGGATTGATTCTCATGCGTTTGAATGTAGGGTCTCATTTAAGTCGAGTTGGAAAACTGATGTGATTGTTGAGTGAACATTTTAAGGTAAGAGACATTCCCGTTAGATATATAAATTCTCTCGTTTTTTGAATTGTTGGATATGCATGCACTTGTACGGCTTTTTAATTCCATTATGATATCTCATTGAACAAAGATTACATGTTGTGTGTTATTGAAAATTATTTTCCTCAATAAAATAGTATTTTGTTGAGTTTTAAATCGAAAATGGTTTTAAAGTAACAGCAAAGTTGATATGATAGTGACGAGCGGGATGGAGAAGCCGGTCATCGGGTAATAGTATGAATAGACTCTTTTACCTTTAAATAATTCGTTGAAGTATTCCAAGTATCAATCTCTCGAGAGGTTGACAAGAACTTAGAGAATAAGAGAATATGAATGGTAACGTGACTAAAACAATAATAAAATCATTAGAATTCAACTTAGTCTAGAATCTAGTTCACCGCTTAATGAGCCTAGATTTCATAAAGGTTAGGTTGGAATAGATATTTACTCATTAGCTAAATGAAGCAGGCACATGGATTACATTCTCAGTCAACAAGCTCGGCCTCACTTTTATGTATACATATAAATATATCTATATATATCAAAACTAAACAACCCCAATATGCTTCAAACATCCATGGAAGACCAGATTTTAGGATATCGGGGTTGATTTTCATTTTATACACGAGGGAATTGTCACAGTTGTAATAACCCGACTTCTACGCCAAAGAAGCTATACATTAAAATTAGAGCTTTCTTTTAACTTTTAAAGGTGGGATGGGGCTTCTAAATACTTTTTAGTTATTATCTATTCAACCGTGAACCAAACCGAACCGCTTAAAAAAAAATTAACCATGAAAAGAACAGAATGGTCGAAAATAATCGAACCGAACGACCCAGTTAGAATCACTTCCTCAGTTTTATCGAAAACTATGAAGTAAAAATTTAAAGAAAGATTTCAGCATCTAAGAACAGCACAATTGACAGTGATGCATTTCAAACTTGATCATTGAACAGACCTCTGACTCTCTCTCTTTCTCTCTAAACAAACGCAGGTCAAAGAGAATCAAATAAGTTTTAAAAGGAAAAATGGATATGGAAAATTTTATTTGGATTCAATGCATCAGCCTTTCACCCGTATAAGAAGAAAAGAAAAAAGCATAGCAATCCATATATGAATACACAATATTTTTCTTTCTCTTGTTTTTACCAGAAATAAGATACCACAAGCAAGATTTCAGAATCAAAGTTCTGTAAAATTGGCATAGTAATAGTAGTACAGTAAAATACCTCCTCCCCTAAGTTGAAGGATCTCTGAAGTTGTAAGCATCGTGAACCGCTCCCGATGCAACGAATACGGAGCTCGAACCTTCATTTGCAACAACCATAAAAATACTCTTCTACAAATGTTTTACCCCATGAATTTCCTATAAACACGTTTCTCTGTGCAATACAAACAAGAAGCTTTAGTTTTACAACAAGATATATAATTGATACGGCGAGAGTTTCAACAATCAACAATGATGCATTATTCAGACAGCAGGATATATAAGAGATCATCCTCCATGCCCTCTCCTAAGTAAAGATTCAGAACGCAATTGACATAAAATTTGGTTCAGCTTGTCTGGCTGTGCTATAGTTGAACCAATAGAGCAACTATTGTACTCAAGTTCGAAAGAAATATCGGTAGCAAACAGGAGTCATAATATAACAAGACATTTGTTAGCATCGCATCAAGTATATTCTGAAATATTAACTTGACATTTTCCTATTCATGTCCGAGATAAAACTTTGATATGCGGCTGTGAGATCCCGCAACGGTTGGGGAGAAAAATGGAACACCCTTTATAAGAAGTGGAAACCTCTCCCTAGCAGATGCATTTTAAAAACCTTGAGGGGAAGCCCGAAAGGGAAAGCCCAAAGAGAACAACATCTGCTAGCGGTGAGCTTGAGCTATTACAAATGGTATCAGAGCCAGACACCAGGTGATGTGCCAGCGAGAACGCTGAGCCTCAAAGGGGGGTGGACACGAGACGGTGTGCCAGCAAGGACACTGGCCCTGAAAGGGAATGGATTGGGGGGTCCCACATCGATTGGAAAAGGAAACGAGTGCCAACGAGAGGACGCTGGGCTTCAAAGGGGGTAGATTATGAGATCCCACATCGGTTGGGAATGAGAACGAAACACCATTTATAAGTGTATGGAAACCTCTCCCTAGCAGACACATTTTAAAAACCTTGAGGGGAAGCCCAAAAGGTAAAGTCGGAGGGCAATATCTACTAGCGGTGGACTTGGGCCGTTACAGCAGCACCAACACTAAAACTGAACTGGAACATGTTTGTCCTCAAACTTCAATTTCCTTCATATTTGTCGAACTAACCCAGCAATCGGTTTCAGCTTACTCAACTTTATCAACTACCAGTTTAACCAAGTGGCTGATACGAAAATCTGGAGAACAGAGAAGCAAGTTTTTGCCCCTATGAACTACATGCAGTTAAAATGTAAAAAAAAAAATGTTTATAACATCAGAGGCTATTAGTAGGGTAACTGGGTTGCAGATGGAAAGAATGAAACAAATTAAATGAAGCCATAACAATGCAAACCTTGGCAAGGAGAAACTAGTCGAAGTGTTCGGGAAGCCATTGAAGACATTCGAGTATGACTTGGTTAGATAGGAGAAGTTGTCAGTTGGTTGTAGAGGAGGTACTCTTTCACCTTTTTTCAGAAGCTCTTGTAAGTTCAATCTCTGCAAGGTTAGGACAGATTTGGACTCCTTCCAAATGAAGGCCAGTTGACCATTCTGAAATACATAGAGAGAACCGGGCTTCGAACCAGGGTATCTAAAGCCATACCCATTGGCAATCCCCTCTCCCGAAAATGTATGCTGAATATTCACAGGAAATAGATCCCCATCAGACTCCCAAGGAAACGGATCTGCCGAAGGTTCATTAATATTCACTCTGAACATTGCAGAACCATTAGGATGTAAAACATAGTGGGTGCCTTCCAATATTTTTGTTGCAATGAGAAATACTTGTCCCTGGGATTTCTCGTACGAAAGCAAAAGGAAGAAAAGGGCTTTTCCAGGTTTGTCTTCTGTAGGCTTCCCCGGGGGCCAGCCGAATGTCCCTCCCCATAAACCAGCATACTCTTGCTCAGCAGTTGGCACTCGCATCGGCAATTTATACAGTGCAAACCGATTCTCATGCATATTAGGCCATCCCCGGTAAGAAGATAGCTTCTTGGTTGATGCATGCAACGCCAACCCAATCGTATCGCTCGATTGAAGAAACTCTTCAAGTTTCACATATTTATTCATCACACTACATGAACAGTTATTTTTCAACATTCCCTTGCTATCATTGATAAAGCCAGACTTCTCCAGTATTTGATTTAGGCTTTGCCTCAAATACCTGCCAAGAGTTTTCTTCTTCCCACATTTTACCTGATGATCATCGTCCCTATTAATCGACTTTTGAAGACCACTTGAACCATCAACAGACTTTTTGAGCTTACTTAGTTCCAACTGAGTAGGATCTGGTAACAGTTCAGAACTACCTGTCCCAGACAATTGACTTCCACCAACTTTACAATACTGCATAAGTACCGATCTCCTTTCTGACAACACTGCCATATCTTCGTCGAAGTTCACTTCATCCCTTAACCTAGGAAATAGTGGCCCAGCAACTCGACTGGACACCTTGACACGAACTTGATTCATTACGGTTTCAAGCAACTGTCTTCTATCACAAAAAGCTAACTGGTCAAATGACACTTTCGCCTCAGGCTCTCCAAAAACCTTCCGGGATCTAGAAAGGTCACTGTTAGACCTACAAACCTTTCTAGCCTCCTGATCTGAATGGTTGACGAAGCTCTTACTATGCGACAAATTATTATACCCATTCTTATGCGATTTAGTCTCAACCTCGAGAAGAAGCACATTGCAACTCTTGTCAACAGCCTTCACCAAACCTGGATAAAAATAGTCAATTCCCTCCTTCTTTCCATGTAGAAAAAACGATGGGGTGCCATCAGCATCACCCAGGATTTCAAAAACGGGTGCCCAAAGAATTGGCCCATCTTCAATGCCTAATGGACCAAGTTCTTGAGGGATAATTCGACAACCAACAACCGAAACAAAACCTGGCATCACATAGACTACATTACCAAGCTCTGGATTCTGATGAACCCATATTCCCATCAACGGCTCAACGCTGCTGAGAAAGCGGCAAAGCGCCTTATAGGATGCCATACCTGTTCGCCAATCCATAAGGTCTTTGGCAGCCAAAATTCCGACCATCTCACATTGCGTGAGCCAGATCTTTTCAGATGCTACTGAATCATGCAGATCCCGACAGCATAGGCTTAAATTACACAAGTCCCTTGGAGAAAGGGACCGCGACACGGTAGAAAGTACATCATCTGGCAGAGAAAGGAGCAAGCTCGATCCACAAACTTCAGTCGACATATGAACTCTATCAAAATTTAAACCACAAATACGTAGTAGCAAAAATTGAGAAAATTCTGAAGCCGCCCTGCTTCTCTATCAAAACGATGATCGTAACAACACAGGCACACAGTTCAAACTAAACAGAGAATTCTAAGTCCAGCAGAAAACACCATAAGTTGAGCAAATTGATAGTAGCCAACGAATGCTGAAGCCGGTTCGTTTCTCTATCAAGATGATGCTCTTTCTCAAATCAAACCAACGAACAGACCAGCCCAATCTTCAAACTGTACAATATTAACTTACGACATCTCAATTTCCTGAATCCGTACAGAAATGAAACACAAAATCCAAAAATGTTCGAACAAACATACAAAGAAAAAAAAGAAAAAAAAACCCAAACTGATTTGCCCTAAATTCCCAAAACGAAGATGGGGTTTATCGCTGATTCGCAATTAATCACACCCAGTTCATTTGGTGAAGAAATAATCGGGAACAAAATGAAAAGAATCAGTACAAACCTAACCTGATTTGCATGTATAGTTGTCAAAGAGGGCATGCCGAAGGAGGAAAAACATGGAATTCAAGTCTGTAAGCTTGGGATCGGCGATTTCAATGGTCGTGCTTTGCGATTCCGTGAATTGCATCATCTAGCAACCAAAATTGAAGGAGAAGTGCTGGAAGAACGGCATAAAATTGAGAGAGAGAGAGAGTAGAGCTAAAGAGAGGAAGAAAAGTCCAAATCCATTTTGACTGCTGGTAGTCTAATGATTCTTCCCGACATAGAGCGGACTTCCGTCTGCTATATGTATGATATGACCTTTGTTCGAACAAAAGTAAGATCATTTTTAAAATGATTTTATCTATAGAAAAAATAGGCATCATTATTTCATTCAAATATTTGATTCTAAATCTCGAGAAAAACGACACTTACAATGGTCAACAGACACGTTGTTGAGCCAAAAGAAATATGTAATGGAGAGAAGAATGGATGATAGCTAAACATAATCGAATCTTATGGCTTCACGACTAATGCCGTCGACGGTCTTGTCTACTTCTATTCTTAAAAATTGTTGATTACCGTAAAATACTAAGTAAGTGACCCTACTGTTGTAGTTGAAAAATGCAAACACCGATAAGAATGTTATTTGTTGAAACTTTCTATTCGTAATTCTCATCTATTAGTCATATCGTCAAATTGTAACCATGTAGTCACAAAAATATAAGGGGTCGTTTCGTCATTTCCCCTTATGGCTATATTGCCAAGTTTACAAAATTATAATCGTGACCATATCGCCACGAAAACATGGAACGGTGCCTAAAAGATGCTCCAAATATAGAGTCAAAAAGGTTTTAAAATGTGTCTGTTACGGAGAGGTTTCCACACTCTTATAAGGAATGGTTCGTTCCCCTCTCTAACCGATGTGGTATCTCACAGTCTATCTTCCACGTCTACTAGGGAGATATTTCCACACCCATACAAGGAATGTTTCGTTCTCCTCTCCAACCGATGTGGGATCTTACAATCCACCCCTCCTAGGGGCCAGCATCCTCACCGGCTCATTGCCCGGTGTCTCGCTTTGACACCATATGCAACAGCCCAAACCCACGCTAATAGATATTGTCCTCTTTGTACTTTCTTTCCAGTTTTAAAACATGTCTATTAGGGGGAGGTTTTCACACCGTTATAAGGAATAATACTTCATTCCTCTGATATGGGATCTCACAATATGTATTGTCACTCTCCCTCGTGGTCGTATAGCCAAGTTTTCAAAATTATAGTCGTGACCATATCGCGAGAAAACACTGAGAAGCCATATCGCTACTCTCCCTCATGACTATACATCAAGTTTTCTGAAAAAATATTTCTCGTGAACATACATATGCATGAAGTTTTTATCAGATAATGATGTGCAATATAACTCACGATGTAATCGTTCTAATCATTTCCTTCATAAAAATATTATCGTTACTCTTATTGGTAGCATATAATCAAATATTGATCATTTGACTAGCATTTCGTCATCGTATCATGACATGGTTTACATACATACATGCATCATAAAACATCACAGTTCTAATATATAATCTCATGATCATAACATGCATCATACTCACTTCCAGTTATTTAGCAATCCATATACTGCGACATGTAACAATAAATCTTTTGACCAAAATTAAGTTCTGTAGCAAGTCGACAAATGGGTCAAACCCGACCTGTTGACTTTTTTGTTACCGTTTCAATTTCATAAAATTGCATTTTAAAACATTCATAAACATCGCAATCACGGTAACTTAGAACTAGTGTTGCAAATTTACATTTTAATAATTTTAAAATTTGTATTAAATCGTTCCCGGTTGGATTATCTAAAAATATCTACAAAATGTTAAAAATAACATTAACATACTTTATTTTTAAATTTTTTTTTTTTTTTTGTTACTGTCCTCTGTCTATCTTTTATAGATAATTTTTAAACTTTTGAAAATTCATCGAATCAATAATAATGATTTCATCCATATAATCTCGATAATAAAATGAGTTTATCATAATTTTTTAGATAAATTTAATTATAATTCTCAATAATATTTTATTTATACGGATGTTATTATAAAAGAAAAAAATATATATACATATATATATTTTGCAATTTGCATTATCTTCAAATAAAATAAATAAAAAACTAAAACCAGAAAAAGTCTTTATTTCTATTTTAATTTTTTTTTAATACGCTTCTAGAAATATTGAGCGACACCTTGCGGCGGCTATATATCTCCCTCGCGACACCGCCCGCGGCAGCCAGCACCGCTCGACGGCGACACACTCACGACGACAACTTCTGGGTTGCGACTTCGCTGCATCGGCAAGATCTGTAACTTCAAGACCTTTATGCGGTGATTGAGACCTACAGTGACTACCTGGTGCGCTAGCTCCCCTTGTGTGATGAACCACCAAGATCCCAAGTTGGTGGCAATGTTTTTGGTAAGAATCTAAGCGATTCAGGTGGTATAGATTCGTGATTAAACTATTATCAATGAGTTTTAATCTTGGAATATCATGTTTGTGATATGTTTGTATATGATTTACTGACCTCTTCTACTAATTTGAATATAGACTCGATGCATTAGCATGCTAAAGATTTGTGAGATTGAGTTAAAAGCATGGTGCTTCGAATGTTTGTAAAAGTTCATGCCATGTACGCTCATGCTTCATTTCTGTTTATGAGAAAACTGTGATAGTGTTGTTAATGTATTAAGGCTAAGGAAGTAAGACTTGTTAAGGTAGGTAGTAGGGCGCCTGGTAAACAGGATTGGTGATTGACATGTCTGAATCTATAAAGGTGAGTATTAGGGTTTTGAGTATAAATGGTCAAGGGTCAGTGCGTTGTGAGGTATTGAGCTAAATGTCATGGTTTTTGGTAGAAAGGGGCAAGGGCTAATTTGGCAAGGTTCGAATTGTGAGATCCCATATCGGTTGGGGAGGAGAACAAAACATTCTTTATAAGGGTGTGGAAACCTCTCCTTAGCAGACGCTTTTTAAAATCCTTGAGAGGAAGTCCGAAAGGGAAAACTCAAAGAGGACAATATCTGCTTGCGGTGGGCTTGGGCTGTTATACTTGGTATAAATAATTAAGGGCCAATGTGTTGGGAGGTGAAGAGCTATGTGTTGGAACATTAGAGATAACTGTTGGGGCCTTAGGTAGAAATGGTGGGCAAATGAGATAGAGAGAATGTGTGATTATGAAGCCAATAAGGTGTTGATGTACTTGGGTGTGTAATTATGTGAATTTTATTACTAGAGTTAGAACTAAAGGTTGATGGGGAAGGGAAGGAAAGGTTAAGAAATAATTGGAAATGGGAGTCTTTTATAGAGTTACATGAAGTCTTGAAAAATTTGTACTCATTCTTTTCGATTTTAGATGTTAAACATAATATTGTAGAGAGATACTATGTGAGATCTCACATCGGTTGGAGAGGGGAACGAAACATTCTTTATAAGGGTGTGAAAACCTCTCCCTAACAAACGCTTTTTAAAACCATGAGGCCGATGACGATACATAACGAGCCAAAGCACTAGCGGTGAGTTTGAGCTGTTACAAAATGGTATCAGAGCTAGACACCGAGCGGTGTGCCAGCGATGATACTAGGCCCTGAAGGGGGGTAGATTGTGAGATCCCACATCGGTTGGAGAGGGGAATGAAGCATTCTTTATAAGGGTGTGGAAACCTCTCCCTAGTAGACACGTTTTAAAACTGTGAGGCCGACGGCGATACGTAACGGGCCAAAGCGGATGATATCTACTAGCGGTGGGCTTGGGCTGTTACATACTATGATCATTGCCAAATAAAAGTAATTCAATTTTCGAGTTTTCTTTTAGAATATTACATTACATGTGAAAATGGAGATTCAACCTTACAACTTCATATATCAAAGTGAAGATGCCTTTAACTGTTGTTCTATAAAAGAAATCTAGTGTTGGGGAGAAAAGAATGTAGATAAGTGGATAAGTGAAGTAACATTGGGCCATTAATTATTGATGAACATAAAACTGGAATGAAAATTAATGCATAGTAGACAAGAAGTAAGAATTTGACCTTGACTATACTTCGTTATTTTCGATTTCCTGAATAGATACATAATACCTTAACCAAATGAGATAAGCTCAGGTTAACTTCTTTCTCGTAATTTATAATATGGAATAACTGTGTTATCAGGGAGATAGTGAAAGCGAGCAACAAGGAAAAGGCGATAGCAACCTCATTAGCAAGAGTAATATGAGATGTCAACACTGTGCGGGTCCTCTCTCGAAGGATATGGTCTTGTGCCTTCATTCTAAATTTACTTATATTTTCTTGAACTGCACCCGAGTCTCGCTTTAATCTGTATTTCCGTATGCATATTGCAGGAAACCAGTGCTTGGACAATTCCTCCTCTTATTAGGGATAGTTTCTCTATGGTATTATTCTTTTTTCAAACATCACCACGAACTCATTGTTTTCTATCATCTAGAAAATTGTAACTTGTCGTAATCTTGTTCGCTTTCCTGTTGGAATGTTTTGGACATCTCTTAGATTGGCTCTGCTGTTGGTGGTACTGCCAGTGCTTTTTATGGATTTAATCATGGTAATATACCCCTCGCCTTTCGATAAATCCAACAAATACAATACGAGTTGTTATGTTCGTCATTTTCTTGTATCAAGTAATAGCTCATATTTTTTAATGTCAACGCAGTGATGCCGGTTGTCCAGAGATCAGTGAAAGGGCCTATGTGGTTGCATTTTCTTATTGGTGTAAGTACCTTATTGCTTTCCCTTGTTATAATTATGAACTGTTCCAAAATCTATTTCCAGGTACTTTTGATTCTTTGATTTCTAGTCTTTCTTTTGATGTGATAGAAGATTTAGTAGTTTGTACAATATTAGCTAATAGCAACATTGCTGAGGTTTCTTCCAAATTTCTGAAAGGTCTTAGGAACACATTCTGAAAATTAAGATTGTCAATCATGCTATTCACCAAAAATCTTATACTTTTGTTGTCCATTAGCATAAACCTATTTGTGTGATCCCACGTCGGTTGGAGAGGGGAACAAAACATTTCTTATAAGGGTGTGAAACCTCTCCCTAGTAGACGCGTTAAAAAACATTGAGGGGAAGCCTGGAAAGGGAAGCCCAAAGAGGATAATATCTGCTAGCGGTGGGTTTGGGTTGTTATAAATGGTATCAGAGCTAGACACTGGGCGCTGACCCTGGGCCCTCAAGGGGGTGGATTGTGAGATCTCATATTGGTTGGAGAGGGAACGAAACATTTCTTATAAGGGTGTGAAACCTCTCCTTAGTAGACACGTTAAAAAACATTGAGGGGAAGCCTAGAAGGGAAAGCCCAAAGAGGACAATATCTGCTAGCGGTGGGTTTGGGTTGTTACAAATGATATCAGAGCTAGGCTCCGGGCACTGTCCAGCAAGGACGCTGGGCCCTCAAGGGGGTGGATTGTGAGATCTCATATTGGTTGGAGAGGGAACGAAACATTTCTTACAAGGATGTGAAAACCTCTCCCTAGTAGACGTGTTTTAAAACTGTGAGGCTGACGACGATACGTAATGGGCTAAAACGGACAATATCTGCTGTGGAAAATAAATACCTTAAAAACATCTAAAGGGAACGTGTAACTGCTTCTACCAACCATGGTGGTCACTAGAGACTACAACATTGTTAGGTTCTTGAGTGAAATCTTTGTCGATGGTTTTGCAAAATTTTGATATGCCACCGATCAAGTTTACACGCACTAAAGAATGAAATGACCGAAAGTGGCCCAAAACATGGAGGCCTAATTATAGTTAGAAAAGGGAGTTGCGTGATCATTCCTTTTGATGGGAGTTGCGTGATCATTCCTTTTGATGGGAGTTGCTTTGGCTTGGTTTTGATGGGAGATTGATGGACATCATTGAAGGGCTTGGTCTATATATAAAGCTGGAAGATTGTAATAGTCCAAGTCCATCGCTAGTCGATATTGTCCTCTTTGAGTTTTTCCTTCTATGCTTCCCTTCACGGTTTTGAAACGCGTTCACTGGGAGAGGTTTCTATACTCTTATGAGGAATGCTTCGTTCCCCCTCTCCAGCTGATGTGAGATTTCACAATCCACCCTCCTCTAGAGGCCCAACGTCCTTGTTGGCACACCGCTTGGTGTCTGACTTTGATACCATTTGTAACAGTCCAAGCCTACCGCTAGCAGATATTGTCTTCTTTGGGCTTTTCCTTCCGGGCTTCCCTTCAAGGTTTTAAAATGCGTCTACTAGGGAGAAGTTTCCACATCCTTATAAGGAATGTTTCGTTCCCCTCTCCAACCGAAATGTTCTTGGTGAAAAGGACGGTGAAAAGGAGGGTCTTTTGGTGTGGATCAATGGCCTTCCTGACCCTTCTCTTGTTAATGAGTTTCCTGATGTCCTAATGGCTCCTTAGCCAAGCTAGAAAAGCATCTAACAAACTCTATTAAGATTCATGAAGGAATGTGCGCATTTTTTCAATAGCTGTGGAGGAGTGTCTTAAATAGAATAGAATGTTCATATTTCTCTATCATTGGGTTGCCTCTTAGGAAGCATATTTTTTATCCTGAACATGATTGTCACTTTTCATCTAGGAGGAAAATACATGATGTTCAAAGAAACCTTCGAACTCTTGCATCGTACCCATACGCATATTTGCTAGCTATGTTTTTTCGCCTTACGAGTTCATGATCTTTGAAAACTCTCCAAAGCCATCTAGGAAAGAAAGCCAATTCGAAGAAGACTGACACTTCTAAATGGTACTGTGAGATCTCACATTGGTTGGAGAGGGGAATGAAGCATTCCTTCTAAGGGTGTGGAAACCTCTCCCTAACAGACGCATTTTAAATTTGTGAGGTTGACGGCAATACGTAATGGGCCAAAACAGACAATATCTACTAGCGGTGGGCTTTGGCTGTTACAGTTCTAGAATAATGCTCTCAATAGATAGCTAACGACGAAACCAAATTTGCTCGAGAAAATTAAACAGTGATGAATGGGTCTTAAGACGAAAATTTAATGTTCTAGTTCTCTCTCGAGTGGAAACATTATACCTCATTAGAGTTAATGATTACTGCAAATTTTGTCTCACTTGCAGGCTCCTCCTGTGATTGTGTTTTCTTCAGCTTGTGCAGGAATGGCAGGTTAGTTCTTTTATCCTTGTTTAATAACTGGAGCTGTTCTGTTCTTTCTGCAAAAATGCTTCATAGAAATGCAAACACAATTGCTTTACCTTGTTAGGATGAGTAGCAATGATATGCAATGCCATTTTGTTAGCTTTGGAAACATGAACACATTTTGAGTATCAACTACTGCACTGAAATTGGGTTAAAATACCATATTCATCTTTGTGCTTCGAGCATCGAATGCATCGATCGAACTTTCAAATGTCTAAATTTAGTCGTAAAACGGGTCTGTGAAAGATGGTTTTAGGTACCAAAGTTGAGTTGATATTAAATGAATGCTTTACAGGTGGGGCTGTTCCAGCTTTGGCCCAACTTTTTTCATCATCTTATCATTCAGCCATGTCTCCTTCAAAAGATGACAAGACTCACGATTCAAGATCATCTTCTACCATGTAATTCAATATCAACTTTTTTTTCTTCATCTTATCATTCAGCCATGTCTTTTCAATCTTACCCTTCTAGAATATATCAATATCATATCAAAGTACGTATATTAGTGATATATCGTTCGCATATCAACAATTAAAGTATATAGAAGACGAACACTTATCTTATAAGAGATGAAACTTCAAGTTGAAGTTCGGTATATCATTGTATTAATTTGAGGTAAAGCACAAGAGTATTGTGAGATCCCATATCGGTTGGAGAGGGAAACGAAATATTGCTTATAAGCGTGTGGAAACCTCTCCTTAGCAGACACGTTTTAAAACATTGAGGGGAAGCCCAGAAGGGAAAGCTCAAAGAGGACAATATTTGTTAGCGGTCGTTACATGTATCATTTTAGCATTATATCATGTTAATCAATGTTCATTTTAGGTAAAACGTGGAATATTTCAAGTATATTAGATATCAAATAGCATTTTTAACTTTGTGGAAATCTTTTATATTATAACGATTTGATTTTTTTTAGCACTAATCAATAGAGGCGTTGCTTAAAAACAATGAATAAAACCAATTCAAGTTAATTAAAAACATCTCTTTGAGTTTAGCTATCAAGGAATTGATACAACTCCGACCCAAGGTGTTTAGTTATGAGTAGTCTCCTCACTCTCTCAATATAAAATATCTTTTTATTAGGTCATAACTAAAATTTAGGTATCTTTAGCTCGAGATTTTATCAGCTCGAGATTTTATCTTCTTCAAATATGCCTCGTCTATTTTATCCAAACCCCATTACGAAGATCATGAGTTGTCTCCTCACTCTCCTGATACAAAATATCCTCTTATTAGGTCATACCTAAAATTCAAGTATCCCCAGCTCGAGATTCTGTCTTCTTCAAATATGATTCTTCGATTTTACTCAAACCCCATTATGAAAATCATGAGTTAGTCCTCATTCTCCCGATACAAAACAATCTCTTACTAGGTCATACCTAAAACTCAAGTATCCATAACTCGAGATCCTATCTTCTTCACATATGCTTCTTCGATTTTACCCAAACTCCATTATGAAGATCATCAATTGTCTCCCAACTCTTAGAGTACAGAATAGTCTTTTATTAGGTCATACTAAAACTCAGGTATCCCTAGCTCGAGATTATATCTTCTTCAAACATGCTTCTTCGCTTTTACCCAAATCCCATTACAAAGATCACGAGTTGTCTCCTCATTCTCACGATACAAAATAGCCTCTTTTATAGTCATACCTAAAACTCAAGTATCCCTAGCTCGAGATTCTGCCTTCTTCAAACTCTTATAGTCAAGTCCTCCAAATTATATATATATAACATATAACATTTTCTATCATGCTCCCAAAATTAAATCAGGTAAAATTTAGTTCAAACTCCAACCAAGAACAAAACAAACAAAACAAGTTTATATATTTGAGAGATTAAAAAAAAATGGTAGAAAAAAAAAACAATATTAAATGCAAACTTAAAGTCTTTCTAAATTACTCATATTTTAAAAATAATAAAAAAAATAAGAATAATAATTTAAATGAGTTGACAAAAAAAAAAAAAAACAATATTTTTTATTACAAATTCCCATGAAAGTGGTATGAAGCAACATGAAAATAGCTTCCGGATCTAAGCGACGATTCATTCCAATTTGTTCTTCAATTCTGTGTTCTAGCTCTCTTTCGTTTTTGTTTGTGCGGATTTATCGATTCCTCCTTCTTCGCTCCCATCCCAAATTCCTCGAATACTCTCTGTTCCCATTCCCTGTTATTCATCATATCTTACGCATCAAGTCTTCGCGAATAAGGAATTATATGCCATGCGTTGATGTTATTTATGCTCTTTATCTGTATCTCCTTTTTCCTCCCCTCTTAATTCTCTGTTTGGAAGCCCGGATTGTTGAGCAGAAACGGAGATTTTGAGGTTGTTTCATCGGAAATCTTGTAAATGAACGATTACGGAATCGATTCGATGCAAGAAATTCAACAAAGCCATGGAATGGTTGCTGATTGTTTTCAGAATTTCGGGGCACAGCAGCCATGGAGGATGGGAGCTTGTGTTCCGTTACCAGCCATGGACGAGGTTGAATCGTTAGAACAGCAAGATTTTGGTTCGTCTAAATCGAGTTCGACTATCATCAATCTGTTCGAATCTCCTGCTTCGGCGTTCTTCGCGACGGAGCAATGCATGGGGATACCTCCGATTGAGTTTCGGACTGGTTCGTCGTCTTTCGATCGGCCTTCCGATTCGATTTCAGCCATTTTTCAATCCTCCGGCGAGAATCTCTCTCTCGACTTGACGGAGAAGAGTGGCGCAGATTCTGAATTCAGAAACACCTTGCAATCGGTTGTGAAATCTCAACTCTGTAAGAGGAGATTCGATGGCTTTCCGAAGAGTTTTTCCAGTGACCACAAGGTGTTTGATGATTGTTCTCACTCAGTTGAGAAGCACTATTCAGTTCCTTTCAAAGACCAAGGAGTACGCAATTTCTACTCTCCATCTGATGATAATTTTCCATTCTCTTTATCATCTTTTATGAATCTATTTCTCTTGTTTGATAATTCAGGACTGTTATAATCCAAGTTTCTGTTCTTCACAAGAGAAGATCTCTCCAAGATTCTCCTGCTTGGGTGCTTCTGTGGGCTATGGAAGCTCTTCTTCTTCCTTCAATGGAAATGGATTCACCACCAAAACAAGAATCAGATGGACGCAAGTCCTCCATGAGAAGTTTGTTGACTGCGTTAATCGTCTTGGTGGTGCTGAGAGTAAGTAACAACATTAAAGCTGATTTTCATGGAGCTTTCTTGAATTGTCATTTTCAGAGCTGATTTGTTGTTAGTGTTACAGAGGCAACGCCAAAAGCAATTTTGAAGCTGATGGATTCAGAGGGATTGACCATATTCCATGTGAAGAGCCATTTGCAGGTACCAAAATGAAGAAATCTGTAGAACAGTTTTGAATGATTTGAACGTGGTTTTTGCCCCATAAGTACTGATTTCTGTGTTCATATTTTTGCTTTGTAGAAATATCGGATAGCAAAATACATGCCAGAATCTGCAGAAAGTATAGATTTCCATAGTGAAAAACCATTAATTTCAATACTCTGTTCTGTTTGTTCTTGAAGCTTTGAGTCTGGACTCATCAACAATGAATTCTTTCCTGGAAAAACTCCCATTTTGTGTTGTTGACATGTCCAGAAGAAGCCAATTTTTTTAGTTTTTCTTAAAAAAAATGTAGCCAGTTTTTGAATGAAGATCACTTCAACAATAATGTTTTGAAATGCAGGGAAATCTGATAGAAGGAACAGCATGATTGAAGTTGCCCAACTGGATATGAAAACGTTAGCTTCTTGTAACCCATATGGATATTATATTAAGATGTTGAAATGTATGTTGGAAAGTGCTAATGGAAGTGAATGATGTTGTGTAACAGTGCCTTGCAAATTAAAGATGCTCTCCAACTGCAGCTAGATGTTCAGAGGCGTCTTCATGATCAACTCGAGGTAATATACACTTTTTTTCCTCCTTCGAGTGCACGTTGAAAGATTCAAATAAAATGGCTAAATTTACAAGTGTAGTCTCTGAACTTTTAAATTCGTGTTCGATAAACTATGAACTATAGACATTGTCTTGGGTCTTTAAATTCTTTATTATTGTCTGATGATTCGAAACTTTCAATTTTGTGTTCCATGATCAACTCGAGTTAATATATAGACATTTGTACCTCCGGCGAGTGCACGTTGAAAGAATCAGATAAAATGGATGAATTACAAGTTTAGTCTTGAAACTTTTAAACGATAAGCTTTGAGCTATAGACCTTGTCTTGGGTCTTTAACTAAATCTTCGATTATTGTCTAATGATTCAGAACTTTCAATTTAGATTAAGAATTTTTTAGTTAATCATTTGATCGAAATTTGAATTCGCTTTGCAATCGACAGGACACACAGAAAACAAGAATTCCTGGCTGTAAATTTTCTGTGAGCCTTATTTTGTTGTTCTTACAGATTCAGAGGAAGCTACAGCTGCAAATTGAAGAACAAGGGAAGCAGCTCAAGATGATGTTTGACCAACAACAGGAAACAAACAAATGCTTCTTCAGAACCAATGGCTTCAACAACTCCGACGACCCGCCGTTCCCGACACCCGAAAGCATCCGAAACGCTCAGTTCCCATCAAAGATAAGTTAGCTCCTAAGAGCCAGCCACCAACACTTCCGGTATATAACCACTCATTTTGGGTTCACCATCTTCTTTCTTTCGAACATCATACGATGAACACTGCAGATTGAGTCCTGTTGAAACCAGAACATAAAAGGGTAAAGAAATTACAGAGTAGTGTGGGATATAGAAAGCTTTTGAGAAGTTGAATTCAAGAAACCAGCAATGGTTTTTGTTTATGTTAATTGTCAGTTCCAAGTTGTGAAAAGTATTGTACCAACAGAAATGATGTGATTTCATGCTTGAAATTTCTTCTTCTCTTAATGTTTTGTCTAAGATTTTAAAAGTTGACTATGCACAAATTAGCTATAGAATAAGTTAATTGTGACGCCAAAACCAAGTCGATGACTCTGGACAATGAGTAGGTTGCAGTCAAGAATATATTTAAATGAGAGTGATTCTGAAGATGTAAACTTAAGGAGAATAACGAGATGGTCCTCCATATTTTAGTGGCAACATGATCACAACTATGTATTTGAAAATTTGGTGATATGGTCATAAAGGACAACGATGACACGGCTGCGATAGGCCAACGAAATAAAGGTTACAAAAGGCAGGTCTCGAAATCTATCATGTTTTCATTTTCCAACTCCCAAGTGTAAGGTCACTCACTAGATATTTCTAATACTCAACCTATTTCAAAATATTTTTTTTTTCAGACATCGTAGACAACAAACTGATTTTAAAGGTTTCTTGTGAGATCTCACGTCGATTAGGGAGAGAAACAAATGTCAGCGAGGACGTTGAGCCCCGAATAATGGAACATTCTTTATAAGAGTGTGGAAACCTCTCCCTAGAGAGAAAGCCCAAAGAGGATAATATCGGCTAGCGGTGGGTTTGAGCTGTTACAAGTTTATAGCATATCTGCCGTAACAACCATTAACCTGAACACATACAAATCTTAAAAATCGATCGACGAATATCGTTTTAGTTATAGCACGGAG